CGTTTCGCCGCCGAGATCAGGGATCCGGTCAGGAAAGCCCGCGTCTGGCTTGGAACCTTCAACACCGCCGAGGACGCCGCCCGCGCCTACGACGATGCCGCCCGCACCTATCACGGAGCTAAAGCCAGGACCAATTTCCCCTCCGGTCTTGTCCCCCACAATCATATTGCCAATAATCGCCGCACCAATTTGATTGCCCCTCTCCAGGCGGAGAATCATTACCAAGGGTTTCCTTATTCCGGACCAGCCAGAAGCAGCCTCAGCAGCACCGTGGAGTCCTCCAGTGGCCCCCGCCTGCCTTCTGCCCCCTCCGCCCCCGCGGCCAAACAGCAGTTGCGCCCCAAGTTTCCTCCACCACCTGACGATTGCCACAGCGACTGTGGTTCGTCCTCGACAGTGATGGACTTTGATGATCAAGATCAAACCACATCATATCTCTTTCCCAAAAAGCCCCTGCCTTTCGATCTCAACCTGCCCCCTCCCCCATCCGACAACTACTGCATTGCAGACGAGTTAAAGGCCACTGCCCTCCACCTCTGATTCTACCAACAAACAGTCATGGTATCCCTAATTTATATATCTTATATATATATGCATATCATCAAAGAAAAATCTTGTCCCCGTTTTCATCTTCCCAAATTTTCCACTTTCTTTTAAAGTTTTATTTTCCACTGGTTGTTTAGATTTGTAGTATAGTTTTTAGTACTGGAACTTGAATGTGAAAGGGATACGATCTGTATTGAGAAAGATTTCTTTCTGAATAATATACATTCCCTATATTTGTAACCTGATGTACAATTAAAAACCTTATCAATGCATTGTTATATTGTATTGCTACATAAAGAAGGGTTCTTGAGAGTAGGAAAGCTTACCCATAAGATAGATAATTGATTATGTTTTGCAAGTCATCAGGACATAAGCTTCTGCAACCCAACATTACACAGATTTTTGGTGTCACCTGGGAAATTTGAAAGGCCAGTTTTTAGTTGATCTCATACCTGATCAAACTAGTCTTTGTTTTCTTTTCCCCATTTAGACCCGTCTAACTCCAATCCCTTATTAATCTTGAATTATGCCACATTTGTTTCCAGGAAAATGTTTTCTGATTTTTGGTTCTTTAGCACCTATTTACTAGGGAGCACCGGTTATAGCACTAGTTATATTTACTAGGAAGCACCGCTTAGAAGAAAGGCAACCTTCACGGCGGTGTGTTCAACTTGCATAAGCCTGCTTTTAGGCTGAAACTCCACAAGCAGCGAGAACTAGATCTTGACCATCATAGCAATAGTTTCTCTCGTTCTTTAAGTCCTCTTAGGGCATAAATCAAGAGAGTCCAAGAATTAGAGGGGCATTGAGAAATACATGTTGCTACCACTCACATCAATTGCAACTTGATTTCTTGCTGGAGTCTTCTGCCTTGAACTTTGAACTTAAGATGCTCTTCAAGTGAAAGATAATGCCTTAGTGTACTTTGAGGAAACACCAAAGAACATAGATTTATGTCAGGATTCAGGATAGAAGGCATTTTCAGAGCATTTAAGGTAGAAGGCATTCCAAAGTAATTGGGGATTTATATATGCATCTGTTAAGTTGTTTCAGCGGAGATCCATTTTAAGGGACAAGCCACAATGGGTTGCGCGAAAACTAGAATGGAACCCGGGTCAACGCGTTAGCCCCTCCCCAACTCCTGTTTCAGCTCAGTTTTCTTGAGTCGGCTTGGACCAATCAACCAAGAAGCATACAGTGCATCTACCAATAACAACCTAGCTATTGTCATAAAGTAGGCTATGAGAAGTGTGTGTGAACGCGGGTTGTCATACTATACATAATACAGAGTAGTAACAAATGCATCATCTCATCTTACGTTGAGCTTTTCACCCATTGTCTGAGGTGTCTAGGAGACCCCAGACTGATGTAAATTGTTTACACTATCCCATAAAATTTCATAAGGGCACTTCACACACTCTTAAATGATTTGCCAGTAAATTGATGTGTCTCCCAGAAATTTCATACATGCATTGTCATTGTAGAGTGTTTAGTTGGTCAAGTTGTTCTCGGACTTTTGGAGCTGTCGGCAAAACTTGCACATAGGAACCGTATCTCGGAGACAACAGAGGTGAGCTACCACTTTTGATCTCTCCATGTGTGTTTGTCATTCTTCACAAGTCAGGCTAATCTTTTGTTCCAATTCCATCCTCCATAAGCATTCACTTTGGATCTCTCCATCCTCACTTGTTCTAAGTTTTTCACGAAAAACCGACTAAGGGCCTGTTTGGTGAGCGCAGATTCTCGATAGGAAAATCCTTTTTTATCCTTTTGTGGGGGTAAATTTCACAAATGGTACCTGAATTTTAGCTGGAATTTCGAAGTAGTACCTGAACTTCAAATCCTTTCACAAAAATCCCTGAACTTACACAATCCTTTCACTAATGAGCCATTAGCCCGTTTCTAGGTTAACTTCCGGTCATTAGGGCCAAATTCGAATTTTATATATTTTAAAATTTTCAATTTGACCCCATTTCTTCTTTTCTTTTCTTCCACGCCCCGCCGCCCGCCGGTCAAAGTCGCCGGAAAATGAACTTTTTTCGATTCCGGCGGACCAATGTCATTCTCTTCGTCTTG